CAACATTAGGTGATCAATGTTGTACCATCATTTGTCCTTTGAGTCGACAATAGCACCCAAAAAAAACGCGGGGCCACGTACCGAATCAGCCAAAGCTTCCAGGAAAGCACTCAAAACCGATACACGCCAACCGCGCTTTCTTCTGTGATCCCGGCACATGGCGGTTTGCGCTTTGCGCTTCTCTTGGAGCTTCTCCAGGACCTGCGGAAGTTGACCAAGTGGCCACCGTGTGTGCAACACCTACAAGATGGCTGTGGGTCAAAAAAGGTGCCCAAAATGGCTTGCCCTGGTAAATGGAAACATGGACTAAAACCTGTGGTCCCCTGCTGGCTTAATTTCTTATCCGCACCCAGATGTGTATGTGGGGCTTCGAACGAGGCGACAAGTTGAAAAGGAGTCACCAGAACAATAAAATAAGTCTGATGCACTCAAAGCTTGTCTGATCAAGGCTGACGACTTTCCTTGAGACAAGTATTCTCAAACACAATGACCTGTGCCTGGGTCAAAAAGCCTATCAACTGGCAACCTCTAGCCAGTCCGACATTTCTGCAGCTGAGACGCAGGTTGCAAGGAGTTCAAGCTCATTTTGTCTACATGCAGCCAGCCTTTGCCGCTTGAGCCTCACGAAAGGCTGCTTGTGAGATCTGAGTCAGACATAGACCCCAAGACAAACGCACATGGCTTGCCGGGTAAAGGGAAGTGGAAAGCCGAGGCCACGAGCCTAGCAGTGAGTTACTGGGTTCACTGTGACATCCTCAACAGTACCCTCCAACTTGTGTTTCAAAGAGAGACAAAAACACAAAAATAGTTTTGAGAACCCATGAAAAGGTTCACTTCAATGGATCCGGACGGCTGGCAATGAGATATGGTGCTTGAACTTGCGTGGCCATGGAAGCTAATAACTCGCCCGGCTGTATGACTCAAAGAGCGCAGCCTCTGTGGGGGGGTTACATCCCCATTGAACATCAGGCTCGGCCCCCTACATGATGTGTCGTTTCCCAAGAAAACACACAAAAACATGAGAATCGGAGATGCGGGACGCCCGAACTCCGCAACTCCGCACCCCGTGAGTTTCATTAAACAAATTCCATGCCCGAGCTGAGGAGCTGAGGGAGCTGAATCAAGTCCTGAGGCATCGGTTGAGTTCTGGCCCCATGTTTTCTCTTGGCCAAATTCATGAGTTCCAAAGTCCCCCCAACACACAAAGAACAGCTTGAACTGATCCCAGCTTCTGATCTCTCAAGGGAAACCTCAGGGTTCACCATATGTCCACCTAATCCATCACTAACCAAGGGAAATTCACCCCCCCTGGGCTCAAGACGTGATGCTTAAAACCTGGGAAGAGCTGGACCCTGCACGTTCGAGTTCGAGGCACAGCCTTTTCACGCGGCATTATCCAAATCTTACGCTGGCTAAGTGAGCGAAGCCAGCCAGTTAGCATTCACCTGGGCAATTCACTCCTGTGTAAAGCATGGCTTGAACCACTTTTAAACCACCTCGTTTTGCTTTCCCTTTCGTGCCACGGATTGGTTGCTTCAACAGATGTTGCGCAACCACGAACGTAAAACCGACTTTTGCATTGGCGCCAAAGCTCACTCAACCCTTGCAGGGCCTGGATCAAGTTTCATCCAGCCTTCCCCAATTTTCTGCGATCGACCTGCAGCTGCTAAGTTAGGTGTGTGCTGTTGGGGAAACCCCCATTTGGTTGGTTGTGCAGGCAAGCCAAAAGGAACAACGATGTTTGTGCGGGATGGTCCTCTATTTTGAGGACCAACCTGCATCACCTCCATCAGAATGCCGTCAAATGTAAGCAACTTTCAACCGGAAGCGAGTCGTGTGAGTGTGCCTTCTCGGATCGAAGCTTTGTGAGAAGTTGCAGCTGCCTCCATAGGCAAACTCTGAGTGGGGTGACCTGCCGGGCCTGACAGACGCATGCGCCGCATGCGCCGCATGCGCGCTGAGCTCAGCGCATGAAACCCAACTCATGTTCTCATGGCTCGGTGAAAAGCGAGCATCTTGCCTTCACGGAGCTCAGGCCAAAGGGCAATCAGGTGCCCAATGGATCGCCTGAGCCGAGATGCAAATCAAGGGCGGCCTACTGGCCTCATGCCACAGGCTTCCTGAAAGGATACATCCAAAAGGCCATCTGTTTCACAAGGATTTGCATGCTCTATTTAAACCAGCTGCAGCGGGTAAAGATGTAAATGGAGCAAGCACTCCTACGACCGCAGGAACTGTGTTGGGTCTAGGAACCCGCCTGCAAGAACGTCAAAGTTGCAGCACAACTCTTGTTTTTTTGTTTTTCCCCGGAAATCACCAAGGGTTTGGCCCGGCTGTCATTTATCCAAGGCTCGAGTTCTGGTGTGCGCCAGCGCATCCCAGGCGCCGCCCTGAGGGTTTAGCAGAGGCGGCGAAGGGCCGCCGCTAAGAACGAGACTGTACAATTCACTTGGCGGAAACCGAACAAAACCCAAAGAGATGTTGCTAAACTCGGACGTTTAAACAGAATCTCATTTCAGCGAATTGGCCGAACAAGTTCTCAACTGGTTGTTTGCAGCTAAAATGGCCCCGAAAAGCATGAAGTCTGGAACTCGGAGTGAGACAAGATCAGTAGATGTACAAGATGTGCGGTTCAGCAGACCCTGGCCGCGGTCACAAAGCTCACAAACTCACAGCTTCAATGGGGCGCCTTCAGCTCCATGTCGAAGGGCTCAGGCCTCATGGTCAATACAAGCATCAGCTGCTCACACACAGGCACACACAAAAACACAAAGCAAAACAGGCGCACAGACACAAAAACAGGGCACACACGCAAAGACACTGACACACACAGAGAAAGACACTCACATATACAAGCAAGCAAACAAACGAACACACGAACAAGCACACAAACAAACACACAAAAACAAACAAACAAACAAACAAACAAACAAACAAACAAACAAACAAACAAACAAGCAAGCAAGCAAGCAAGCAAGCAAGCAAGCAACAAACACACACAAACAAACACACAAACAAACACACTCACACACACACACAATAGCACACACACAAACACAGGGCGCACACACACACAAACACGCACACACAACAGCTCTGGACAAATAGTGACACAGTACCACAAGCGGAAGAGAACAAACACATCAGCAACCAGCACATGAGGTATGTTTCGGGGTGCGTAGCCCTGATGGCACGTACACAGAGAGACACACACACACACAGTGACACAAACACACAAACACAGAACCACGGACACACGGGCATACACAAACAAACACAGAGACACGCACAAAGGGACACGGACACGGACACATACAAACACACACACATACAAACACGCGCACACACACACACATACAATGATTACTTCTTGAATTGTCCCGAACAAAGGTACTGGATCACTTCTAAAAGCGTGCATTTGCGCGCCTACAGGTTGCACAAGCGAGCACACCCACAGCTCCAGGCTGGGGCATGCCAAATCAAAAGCTGAATGATAGCCATTTCTGCTGAAATCTCAGTCCCGACGTTCGAGGGTAAAACTTCGGCATGGAAGGGAAGTGTGGGCTCTTTTTTGGGGGTGAGCTTTTACCCTCACTGGGCGCCAAGCAAGCGAGCGCCGCCGGGTCTGGCCCCCTCCAAGCCTGATGGCCAGCTTGCTGCTGCAATGCAAGTTGAGACTATTCCTGACCCCCGGATCAGTGAAAGACGTCGGTCATATGTCGTGATTGTGGACCTGCGCCTTCGATTTTAGCAATGGTCAAAAGTTACCCCTTGCGCTAGTGGACATGGGAAGGTTGACTCATCATTTTGAAGCAGTCAAATTCACTTGTTTCCCCACGAGAACATGGGACAGTTTAGGAAGTCCGCTATCTTTTGTGGGGAATTGAGTGAGTCCCCCATTTTCCCTCCCAAATGGACCGTTGACCAGCTCCTCTTGGGCGTCACTACGGCTGTGTGTGTGTGTTTGTGTTTTTGTTTGAGGGTACACACGGGTGGTTTTGTAGATGTCCGCAAGTAAAGAGGACACCAAACCGAGGAGGTTGTGCTATCTAATTTCGGAGTTCAAGAGAACCAACGATGACAGCTCCTTAGAGCTGACTTTTCCCTCATACACCATTAATGTTTGGCGGTACAACCTTTGACCCGCCGGCTTTGCCGACCGAATCGCATCCGGCCAACCAGCTCCACTTGGGTGCCGGCGCACGTCCGCCAAGGCCTACACACTGTCACGGCAAAAGACGTGGCAACATCTGCGGCGACTTGAGGGGGCGCGGCTGGCACTGACAAAAGCCCCAATCGCCACAAGCTTGGATTCGAATACTGGTTGATAAACCATGTTCCCAACGGTGACGTTTAGCCATCCGCAACATTGAGTGTTGCTTCTAGTCACCTGGGTAAAGTGCAATGAAACGTCCCCGCTGACCAAACCCTGATGCCTCGAGTCGAGGTCGCTCAAGGCAACTTGTAGCGTGCTGGAATGCACCAGAGTCTCTCACGTCGATGGCACCATCACACATGAAGGTGGCGTTTTCATTTTCACAATATGATCCTGTATACCCTCTTTCCAACAAAGGAAGTGGGCCATGTAGGGGTTTTTGAAAGCCATGCTTTTGAAAAGGCAACAAACGCAAATTCCCTTGTACTGTTGGAAAAGGGGCATCAACGTAGTTGGCGCCTGCAATCTTTTCCCTCCCCGGCATCTGCAACTGGGCTTGGCCCAAGAGCTTTCGAGATCTTCACGAGCTCGCCAAATGATGAAAATGGAACCCGCTGAACCCGCGCTGTTGATTGACAAAGTATGCCAGGCACCAGCTAGTAGGTGGCCAGTGGAGTTGCATCTATCTCCTGACACGGATTTTGCAACCATCAACAGCAAACAAAACTTCGTTGTGTAAGATCATGCGTCCAAAAACCATTTGCAACCAGGTTGTACCATCATAAAGGATGCATAGGCCTTGTGACAAACTTCATGAAACCGGGTGTGGAACCTTCTGAAAGTGGCCCATTTCAGGTTTGGGCCGCTTGTCAATCTGCAGCGGGGTGTGCTGAGAGAGGCAACCCCATCATGCCCCATTTCCCCAATCTGCCTTCAAATGTTTGAAGCAGCCTAAATATTGGCATAACCGGCGCTGTGCGATACAGCACAAATACATCCCGTCTAGGGATCGATCCGGGCACTGTCGAACATGTCGAATGGCTCCAGTCAGAAGGTTATGGCCATCACGCCGTTGGGCAGGTATTCGATCTCCGGCAAAGTCTCTTTGTAGATCTTTGAGAGGCTGCCCTTTGAAACCTGCGTATGGGTATGTGTCAGAATATGTTGTGGGACCCGCCGAATGCTGGCGCACCTGAACAAGTTGCACTCAACCAGGAACGCACACACACAAATGCAACAGATCAAGGCTTTTTGGAAGCCTAGCAAACTGCAAGTGTCAATCCCCCGGGTCTTCAGCATGGGCGGACACCGATCGCAAGAGAGAGGCAGATTTGTCCTGAGCATGTCGGTAGACATAACCCCAAAAGGGGTGAACTTGGTGGAAACGGGAAAACCGTATCTGGCTTGGATCGCATTGGCCACGCCTGACTTGGGATCTCGTGGCCTGGGGTAAGGGAAGCGTCGGTCATCGCGGCTTCCGAGTTCCAGCTCCCAGTAGGACTCAACTGCTGGGGCATACCAAACTCCTCGCCTCAGCATTGGGAAGAAATGGCCACGAAGCAAACGGCGGTTCATCTAATGAGACGACTCGCACGGGGAGCCATTGCAGCCGACAAAGGTGATTAGTGACTATTTTGGGTGGTTGAGGACCATGCGCTACAAACTTTCCATGGCTTCCCTTGTTCCAAAAGACTGAATCAAGTTTCACAAGTTTCCACGACGCCATTTCCATCCGAGCCACGCATCTGCATCATATGTGCCCTTAGACGCTCTTTAACTCGAGTGTTGGATGCCAGCTGCATTGGAGTCTTGCTGCGGTTGTTCCGGATGTGGACCTGGCCACGAGCCGCAGGTTGGTCTGGTTCCCCTCCCATCGCCCACCAAGTAGTAGGAGCACTGGACGTACTAGTAGAAGTGGTAGCGGTAGCAACAGTAGTAGAATTAGAAGTAGGAGTAGGAGTAGGAGTAGGAGTAGAAGTAAAAGTAGAAGCAGAAGCAAAGTAGTGGTGGTGGTGGTGGTGGTGGTAGTAGTAGTAGTAGTGGCAGTGGTAGTAGTAGTGGTAGTAGTAGTGGTAGTAGTAGTTGTTGTTGTAGCAGTACGTAGTAGTTGTAGTTGTAGTAGTTGCTGCTGCTTTTGCTGCTGCTGTCGCTGTTGCCTTGTTGTTGCCGCTGCTGCTGCTGCTGTTGTTGTGATTGTTGCTGCTGTTGCTGCAGAAACATGTGGCATAATTAGATGTCAACTTTCGCTTGCCATTTCTCGCGTGCGAATTAGAACACAGTTGCACTCAGTTCGCGCTAACCATGTATATATCAGACAAACCCAACATGTCCGAGTCACAAAAGAGTGGCCCTTTTGAGATGCTCGAAACCATAAAGTATGGCCACGGCATAGAGCCTTGAGGTTATGGTTCGATGCCAAAGGTCAAAAACAATTTGAGTCTGGTAGAACTTTGTGCTTGTTTTGTTCTGTTCTGCAGACCTTTGACCTTTAGATTACACTCGCCATAGAAAAAGAGCTCGCTGCACTCCGTCCCTGTGTGCACACCTACAATCCATATACCAGGCGCTGGCGCTTCCGGTGCAATTCAACGCATCAGACATCAGGTTCTTGCCAGAAATAGATCCAGAGACTGCTACCAGTGGGTATCTTCTCTTCAGGGGTTTGTTGTGGCCTGATCCTACCTCCTACAAGAACAAAAAAACGCCTTTGCCGGATTGTCTCCAAGTTGCTTGGCAGATTGCAGTTCTTGGTCGTTTCAGGTAGGCTATGTGACTCGTGTGTTTCTAGCATCTCACAATCCCCCGCGCCCAAACCTGCAGAGAGAATGCCGCTGTTGTTTGGGACTGGGGGCCCAAGAAGAAGTATAATTAGGTGATTTAGCGAACAAGTGCCAGGTCACTGGTCACTTGTAACTGCTTGTCTTTAAGCCTCCCCGAACCTAAGAGCAAGTGACCCGTGCTGCTGGAATTGCTGGCAGATGGACGTCTGGAAGCGCAAGGCAACGCGCAACACCAATTACGGAAACATTCCAGCACATGGCGCCTACCAAATCGTGAACGACTCCGATTATTTGGAAGATGAACCTCAAGCAACTCTTCGGAGCAAAAAATTAGACCACGGTTGGCCCGAAAGCATAACATCGCAAGCGAGGTCGGCCCAACGCTGCAGGATGCGTTCTTTTTCCCTCCACGAAGCATTTGTGAAGCAAGCGCGAGACAGCACCAGGCAAGGTGCTCTGCGCAAACTGGTCGGTGCAAGTTGGTCTGCGCAAGTTGCTCTATGCAAGTTGGACTGCGCAAGTTGCTCTGCGCAAGTTGCTCCGCGCAAGTTGCTCCGGCAAGTTGGTCCCTGCAAGTGGCTCCCTGCAAGTTGCTCTGTGCAAATTGCGCTCCCTGCAAGTTGCTCTGTGCAAGCTGCTCTGCGCAAGTTGCTCTGTGCAAGTTGCTCTGCGTAAGTTGCTCTGCACAAGTTGCTCTAGGCAAGGCGCTCTGCGCAAACTGGTCGGTGCAAGTTGGTCTGCGCAAGTTGCTCTGTGCAACTTGCTCTGCGCAAGTTGCTCTGCGCAAGTTGTTTTAAAATGCAAGTTGCATCTTGCGACGCCCGCCCGCGGACCAGGGAGGAATCAAACCCGCGACCCGCCGGTTCCGGGAGCAGGCGCGCGAACCACGAGACAACTCCCGAGGACCAGTTCGAACAACAAAAGTCGCAAAAAACCTCAAGTTGTTGCACCTCGACCACGCCGATGCCCGCAGAGGGTTGCGCGGGCACCGCAGAAATCGCAAAAAAAAAACATGGGTTTTTGCACCTCGACCACACCGATCCCCGCAGAGGGTCGCGCGAGCACCGCAGAAATCGCAAAAAAACATGGGTTTTTGCACCTCGACCACGCCGATCCCCGCAGAGGGTCGCGCGAGCATGTTAAAAATCGCAAAAACCCATGGGTTTTTGCACCTCGACCACGCCGATCCCCGCAGAGGTCAACCACGCCGATCCCCGCAGAGGGTCGCGCGGGAACTTTAGAAATCGCAAAAAAACGATGGGTTTTTGCACCTCGACCGCGCCGATCCCCGCAGAGGGTCGCGCGAGCATGTTAAAAATCGCAAAAAAACCATGGGTTTTTGCACCTCGACCACGCGGATCCCCGCAGAGGGTCGATATTCGTGTAGTGTCGTCGGCACTACCCCGCCGCCCCAAGAAGAGATTTTAACTCCTCGCAAGTCAATTGCACTTGACTCCTTGCACTTGCAACTTGCACTTGACTCCTTGCACTTGCAACTTGCACTTGACTCCATGCACTTGCAACTTGCACCTGACTCCTTGCACTTGCAACTTGCACTTGACTCCTTGCACTTGCAACTTGCACTTGACTCCATGCGCAGCTCGCAATGACGCTCATGACTCCTTGCAATGACTCCTTGCAATGACTCCTTGCAATGACTCCTTGCAATGACTCCTAGCAATGACTCCTTGCAATGACTCCTTGCAATGACTCCCTGCATTGACTTTCATGATGATGATTCCTTGCAATGACACCTTGTAATGACTCTCATGAGAACAACTCAAGTGAACCCAGCGGAAGAACCCTTCGCCATGCTTTCGGGAATTGGCAACTAGCCATGCCATGTGGTGTGCTGATATAGAAAGCAATGGTTGACAGCATAAGATCTGGCTTGCGCCGAGCGAAGAAAGCTGTCCATTTTGTAAGTTGGCCTTCCAAGCGCAGGGATAAGCCATGCAAATGCAAGGATCATTGCAAGGCGTTGCTTACAGGCAATGGCTCAAGCAACAAACGCACTTGAGCTTTTGCAAACCCCACCATCTGCAAGGACATAGTGATTTTTTGTTTAATGATTTGCCCAGACTCGATTGTTACAGGTAGGCCTGCTTCACAGCCCGCACGCAAAGTTCAAAGTCCCTTGAAGTCTTGCAAAGCAGCTCAAGCAAATCAGGAGCACAGTCTGCATCCCAAACCATGAGAAAGTTTGCACTGTTTTTGGCGTGATTGATTTTAAAGCGAACCCCTTCACCATCTGGGACAAAGGGGGATGCTACGTATCCAAATATCAAAGGGAACCAAGGTAAATCAACCTAAAAGTAAACAAAGAGCTCGGAGACCTCGAGAAGACTGAGGCCTTCCGTGGGCTAACGAAAGGTTTACCCCAAAACGGCTGTGGCTCAAAGAATCTTAGTCCCCAAAAATTGCACCAAGGGGTACAATCAAAGAAAGCTTAGTTCGGAGACTTCCGTAATGCAAACAGATGAAGGCGCAAAGTGGGAAGAGTCGAAAGAATCGCAAAGAAAGTGAAAAAGCAAGTAAAAAGTGGAAAGAGGCAGATAGAGAAGAGAGGAATTGTGTGGCAGGCGCAGCATATTGCGGGCTGGCGAGATCGCGAAGGCTTCCTCTGTTTAGCACGCGCGTTCTCGGAAAGGGCCGCAATGGCACGGCGGCGCAAAGGTCTCGCAAGATTGGAATGGCGTGGCAGGCGCGGCACTTTCGCAAGGCAAAGTACAGATTTCGTGGCAGGCCCGGCCCTTTGTGATAGATAGATAGGTAAATAGATCGGTAGAAGACAAAGAGAGAGAGAGAGAGAGAGAGAGAGAGAAGTAGATAAATATGTAGATAGATTAGATTAGATTAGATTAGATTAGATTAGATTAGATTAGATTAGATTAGATTAGATTAGATTAGATTAGATAGATCGATAGATAGATACATATGTAAGTGCAGAGAGAGAGAGAGAGGGAGAGAGAGAGGGAGAGACAGATGGATAGATAGATAGAGATACATTGATAGATACATACGTAGATAGATAGCTGCATAGATAGGCAGAAAGATAGATAGATCGATAGATAGATAGATAGATAGATAGAGGGAGAGAGAGCGAGAGATAGACAGACAGACGGACAGACAGACAGACAGACAGACAGACAGAAAGACCGACCGACAGACAGATAGGCAGGCAGGCAGACAGGCAGGTGGATAGAGAGTCAGACAAACAGATAATAAAGAAAGAATCAAAGAAAGAAAGAAGGAAAAGAAAGAAAAGAAAGAAAGACAGAAAGACAGAAAAACTGAAAGACAGAAAGAAGGAAGGAAGGAAGAAAGAAAGACAGGCAAGAAGCAGGAAGGACGAAATAAAGAAAGGCAGGAAGAAAGAACAGCAAACAAGAAAGAGGACAAAACAAAGGTAGAAAGATGGTTTCTGTTTGCTTTTGGCTGTCACCGATCATGTTCTCGCCAAAACAAAATGCAAGTTCCTCCTTTGGTCCAAACACTTCTCCTAGAGGCACATTACCCCTTCAGATTCGCTGGAGCATACCTGGTATGGAAACAAAGACAAACACCTGCGCAATCGCTGGTTGATCTTGAGCGTTTTGGAGCCACACCCTCATTGAATGCCGCGTGAGACTTTCGATTTCCTGGGCCCCCCAAAACAAAAACACCGGATTTCCTGGGCCCCCCCCCAAAAAAAACCGGCTTTTCGATTTCCTGGGCCCCCAAAACAAACAAAAAACCGGCTCCTGCCTGAGACCCCGCGTCCAGAAGGTACTGCATCATGGTGTCCGAGCCAATCAGCGCCGCGAGGCCCAGCGGCGTGGTGTTGGCTTCGGCTGCGATCTTCACGATCAAGGGAGACTCCTGTGCCGAGACTGGTGCTTGGTGCCAAAAGAAAAAGGAGCAAGCTCAGTGCATGGAAAGAGAAGCCGCAGCAGCAAAAGGGCTAAGATTTCCGACATCAAGCAGAAAGCCAGCCGCGGAAGCCCAGACCATTTGGCCGTGAAAAAGGGCCATGGAAATTAGGGCGTATGGAGGATGTTTTTGCATGGGTGGGGCGTTTCTTTGGAGGTCTGGGTGCAGCATCCTACAGTTCGAACAATAGCAACAGGCGTAAGCTGCGGCGGATGGTGACTCAAACGCTGTGCATTCATTGGTCGATGATCAAGAGTGCGCGGACAATCCGATACAGAAAGGAAATAAACAGAGTGTCAAAAGAGGAAAGTCTCATTGTCATTGGCAGAAGGCAGGGCCATGATGAGCAATGCTGGCACAGTCAAACGCAAGCGCTACAAGCCAAGGCTGAGTGTAAGTCAGCCGTGCATCATCTTGCTTGCTGGAATTGACCCACTGATTTCGAAATGAGCTGTCCGCAAAGGGCGGTCGATTCTCCACAACGTTGTGGAACTCCACGGCGGCTGCTCAATGGGCATGGGCAAAACTATGAGCCCTCCGTGTTTTTCCGGCTCTGGTTCATGGGCCTTGCTACTGGCTCAGGTCCATGACTGGTTGGCAGGAAGTCTCCTTTCGGACCATCAGCCACCCTTGGCACGCCAGCTGGAAGAGCCGGAAAAGGCCAGTGAGCTGAATCGGCTTGTTGGGATCCGCCTGGCGACAGGGTCTCCAACAGCAGGTAACATGATCATGTTTCCGCACGGGCAGCGCGAAGCAATGCGAAGCCATCGTGATTGAATGCAAACTGGTTTCGTTCCTCCGGCACGCTATTGACCGCCTTGTCCTCTGTCTGGCTCTTGGAAAACCAACCAAAACGGATGAGGGTGGAACCTGCTGGTCATTCCGAGATCTTCATGTGGCCACGCCTGAACTGCTCAGCAAAGCTGTGTTACCTGGTTCATTTTTCGGGGATCCCGATTTGGCTTGCATCGGAATCCGTAGGACACGCTACAAGGGAAACCACAAAATCCCTCTGTCATAGGATTCAGATTGAATTTGCACAACCAACACTCAGTACTTGAATTTCTTGTCACGCGGCAAGCAAGTCATGTGCAACTCTTTCAAGAAATCGCTTCTGCTAGCCACAGCAACGGTCCTGTTTCACAGTAATCTACTTGTCAAGGGAATGATATTGGGGTCACTCACCACCTTGCAACTGGGGGCATGCAATGAAAATTGACCGCTGACCACATTGTCATATTTCAGCATGGTTGGTACAAATGGCTGTGGGTCAAAACCCTGTACCCCTGGTGAACATCAAAATAGGTGGCACATGGATGCTCATCCACCCCAAAATGGGAGCCATAGGTTATGCCCTATGGCCAAATGCTGACTCAGATTGCCCTGATTGCCCGATGCAATTGCCCATTTTCAGCCATCGAGCCAGCGCGCCCAGCCAGCCATGGACAACACCAGGGCAAGCAAGACATCACTTATCTCACGGAAGCTTCGAAGTGAAGCGACTTACTGCAAATCACCCCGCTACCACCCCCCCGCAAAAACTCAAAAAGAGGGGTCAGGTTTCAAAAGAGAGTCAACGGCACGTAAATGGAACTGATCAGTTGGGCCCGCAGCCACAAGCCAGAATTTTCAGAATGGCCTGAGCGTCCATGAGCAGGTCTGCTGTCTCCTTCCAATGCCTTGGTTGAGAACTCTCAGGGATCTAGCCGATCCAGTTGGCAACCTGACATGTCTGGCAAATACCTCTCCCCATGGCAAACACATTGAGAAAACACGGAACGAAAACAAAGCAGTTGCCCGGATCTCTAGTCCAAAACCTTCCAGAGGGTGATCGATCCAATCAAACTCCAGACTGAATTGAGAGACTCCAAGCTGCCTCGGTTGCCTTGCTGCGAGTTGATATCACATTCAGAAAACTGATCTGCAGGCTGGGATGGATCAAACTCTAATCCTGGTTGATAAACCGCCGACCTGGTGCGAAATGGATTTGGTCCATCCAGCGTAGCACATCATCATCAAATCCAAGAGCGGGAATGCTAGAACTCTGAAGGGTCATTGCTTGAGCTGAAATGGCAGTTGCTCTTCAGAAACATTGCTCTTGGCAGCTGTTCATTGACCTGAGGAATGACCGTCCAGGTCAAAAGCTAAGAACGCGATGAGACAACACATGAGAACCTTGAAAAAGAACAATATCTGGCTGAGTGCGTCCCAGTTGCCAGTATGTTAGGTACCACCATTTTCCGATATTGGCGTTACAAGGGCGGTTCCCTTGGCAATAGAGGCAAATGGAACTGGGTTTGGTTGAGCAAACTTGGCCAGTGTCCAGAATCTTACCTGCCTCCAGTTTGTGGGAAGTCCGGGATTTGGGATTCCCATCGGATGGGAATTTGGGCGCACAGACCGGGGCCCTGGGCAACGAGAACCGGCAGACCGGCGAGAACCGGCGAGAACCGGCGAGAGCCGAGTTGCGGGTTGCCGTGGGAGAAGAAAATCATGAGGCTCAAAGGTGTGACGCCTAGGCCACCTCACAAACTCGAGGCGCCGGTGAATGCAGGGCTTTGGAGCCCCAAAACTAGCAGTCCTTTTGATTCCCTTGAAACAGTAAAAAGGGCACCCTTGAAAACACACACACACACACGGGAACAAACACAAGCACAAACGCAAAAACACAAGTACAAACACAGAGACACATTGGTTTACAGCAGGCTGTCTGCCGCCCTTTTGGGAAACATCCGAAGAATCCTTTGCATAAGAGCAGCGGCAGTGTAACTGAACCCCTCACAAGCAAACAAATATGTGTCCAGCGTCGAACGTCCCACCTCTGTTGCCGGCGGAACTCCTAACATTTCCCAATTCACAAACCAGCTGCCGTAACTCGCAGGTGTGTGTTTTCCTTTGAGCGAGTTGTTTGGCATGTGCTTGATGGTAGCTAGGTTGAATTCCGCGGCAGGGCTCAAGGTGCATGAAGTCTACATCCTTGTTGGCGGGAATTTCTTGAAATAGGTGGCATGCAAGCTGGAAAATCAAGTTCTGCCGCAAAAAATATTTCTTCTTTAAACAAAAAGCCTACCTCAAGTTGGGAAAACCTGCATTAAAGCCAAAAAGGCGTCTTTTTCCGATTGCGGCTGCACCTGAAACTAAGGGCCCCAGACACGGTGGCTTCGCCTTTTCCCCCGCCAAAGGGTTCCCTTGTACCGCCAAAAGTCCGGCCTGAGCCGTGCACGTCGGCCTGAGACTCCAAGAGCTTGGCGATCACCCCAGGTGGCGCTAGGCGGTAGCCTTGCTTTCGCCAGGACATGTCATGTTGTCATATATGGGTGGGACTTTTCATGCGGGGCCTTCTGGTGGATATCATTTAGGTGAGGATTCAACTTTTCACTTTTCAGGAGGTTCCCCATTAAAATTCATAGCCACAATGTGTATCTGTATATATGTTCCAGGCCATGGACACCCCCCCTCCCCCCCTGTAAGGGACCCTGCCCTTGGGCAGGGGTCTGGAGGCGGCCCGGGGACTGGATACATATACTAGTTCGATTTGTTTGGGACCTCAAATCGACATGGCCATTGTGGATGGGCCAAATCCACTCTGCATCAGTTGGTAAGGAGTTTATGTTGAATTCTTCCCTTGTACAAAATTCATCCATTCCAACTGGTGCAGGCATTTGCCCATGCACCATCGCTTTCTGGCAAGCCCTAGCTTCATTTCCCAAGCCCCTCAAAAGATTCTCGAGCCAGCAAGGCTCTCAGATCCGATTGGATCGGATTACAAGCGAAGCCACCTGAAGCGAAGGGGGACCACTTGAAGCGAATCGTTTTCTGTGTAGATATTTGATGAAACCACAAGCGAAACTAGGCTCACATCGCTAGAATCTGCCATTTGCGTCTGTCTGTTTTTGAGCGCAACCTTGTTGGATTGGTTCAAAGGGAAAACAAAAGGAAAGGCACAATTTGTGAGTTCCTTGTTTCGGCGCATGATTTGAGCGTCTGATGTTTTCTACAAAGACAAAGTTATAAAGATTTAAATAGGCCCTTGCACGGACCGGTTACTAAAACTACCCGCAGCCCCCGTGGTTTGCCGGCACCGCCTAATCCACCCTTGTGCTGCCCATGCCCAAGGTGACTCGACTTCCTGCAGAACGTGGTTCAAGTATGGCACCCTTTACTAGTCAAGTAGCAGAACTCGCGCAGCCATACCTGACACGAGGTGACCTGCGTTCTCTTCAGAGCGTGGGGCCGTGGTACCACGAGGGCGTGGGTAGCAGGCAGGTCTGGGGGTTTTTAGGGTTTAGGTTTAGGGCTTTAGGGTTTAGGGTTTTAAGGTTGAGGTTTAGGGTTTTTAGGGTTTAGGTGTCTGGTTTTTAGGGTTTAGGTTTAGGGTTTTTGCGTCGAGGCGTTGGTTCGGGGCGCAGGCAAACCAATTTCAGGGGCTGGCCGTAAAACTACCAATAGAACTGTGGATGGACGAAATCCATTTCGCACCTAAGAAACCTATGGAATGAACCAACGTTGTGGCTTCCATGGTTTCGCTTCGTGCGAAATGGATTTCTCGGTGGCTTTCTGCTCCGCTAAAAGATAATTTAATGGAAAACCCCATTTGTTGGTAAAAAGTTATTCAGTCCTAACATCCAAGCAACATGCACCAAAGATTTCGCCACCATCCACAGTATACGTTTAGCTCGCGCTGCGATCGTCGGCTTTTCGCCAGGCGGCAGGCCACGCAGAGTGGCGAGGCGTTACTCGGCGTGGAACTGCCGTTCACGTCCGCTCGATGCTGAAGGAGTAGATCCACAGCCCAAGAGGTGAGGCCTATGGGCGTTTCGGTAGGGACACCTCTTGCGAAAATACGCCCCAAAACATATTAGATAATTTCCAACCATTGATTCCTTTCAAACCAGGGGACGATGGAAGGTCATCGCGAATGCAAAAGGAACCTTAAATAATTCTAGATTGGCTGGGTTAGGGAAATCAAATGGACACCTTGCGCTTTTCGGGGTTCAAATAGCCTTGCTGGTTCGATAGGGAATCTGTTGAGGGTTTTGGGAATGAACCGGAATGGGATCCCTTCAAGGCCACTAGAAGGGATGGTTTGTAGACGTCATTCCCTCATTCCCTGAGAACCAGCATAGACAAAAAAAAACGATGGCCAAACCAATGAAGGCCATAACTTTTGCAAACCAACATGCGCAGCCACGAATTCGAATTCGACCTAGTTTTATGACCTGCAGAAAAGCAGTAGAAAGACACGGGCTGTGTCTTGCACGTTTTATTTGCAAAGAATCCCCCTCAACAATCCCCCACCTCTATCGGGTCACCATGAGAAATTGTTAAAGCGGGACCCAAAATAAATGCGGGGCCGGGACCCCTCATCATACATTGAGAGAATGGGGATGTGTAGCTGAGCATATGGAACCAACTGATTCGTTCGGCTACATGATTCAAGATCTGCAAGGGCCAACCCCTGTGGTTTTTCCAACCTCCAAACCTGTTTTTGTTGACCTCCAATTTGGATTTGGTTTATGAGGCTAGAAAACGAAAGCTTGCGGGTCTACAAAAACAAACGGGTCCCCGATTTGCAACACTAAGATTTCTCATCAGGCACTGCAAAGCTGGGCTTTCTGAGATGTCCAGGCCGCAGAATGCGGTATGCAAGCCTGTCGAATGCGGACAAGGCACAAAATCCCAGGGGATGGACGCCAACCTGGGCCATAGTGAAACCTTGCAACCAAAGGCTTGAAGTAGGAGTCAGCAGGGGCACCAACTGATTTCTGGCCCATCAAGTAACATTAAAACAACCGATTTGGGGTTGGAAAAACAAGCCTTCGGGTCCGCTGTTTGGAGTCTCCTCTCAAGCGCGACTCAGGCGCGTTGCGGCATGTCCATCTTTTTATGCCACCCATGTAAGGCCCCCCCCCCCCCCACATCAAATCACCATTTTTCAACATGTTTTCGCCATGAACGACCCCCGTTTTTGGATGTTTGAACCACGCGTTTGCAAGTGCCAGGCTTTCTTTTCTCAACACACGCAACCAACCCAAGGACACATAAGGGCGGCGTGCTGCGCAAGTTGGGACAACGGCCCAGTTTCATTTCGTTCCCTAGCCTCAAAAATGCTCACACACACACACAAAACCGAGCTTTGCTGAGCAAAGTGCTTTGTCTGGTCTGCGTGGATCAGCTTTTTGTTTCAGCAGCATCTCGAGCACCTTCTCGCAACGCTGCCCTCCGCAAGCGGCAAGGTGCAGAGCAGTAGCACCTGAAGTGAGAAGGCTGAAATGTTCTTTGCAACTGGGTGCTTGCGTAAGGAAAAACATGCCCGCGCAAACCTGCCTACTGAAATTTCTTGAGCAGCCTACGCGGACTGCCTGCACCATCGTTTCCCCACCAGGGTTGCCCACCCGATGGGAATACTTCGCGAACACATCGCACAACAAACACTGCTGAGGTGAACAACACGGCTGAACAAGGTACACTGCAAGCCTGTTGCAAACCCAAAACCATTTTCCACAATAATTCCCCAAAATAGCATAGTAACACGGAAGTCCATCAAACATGTTGCTGATAGAACCTCTGGCGCAAGCAACAAGTACGGCCTCACACGCAAAACATCGCCAACAGTGGGCCTTCCTCGGTGTCCCTGTAAACTGACCCAAAAATTTGTTTGCCTAAAAACGGGCACCGCTTGCCCCGCCTGCAGAAATATCCACCTCCACCATCCCCGGACATCTCGCTGCCGGGGAAGCCCCTGCCTGCAGCAGCTCCTGCAAAGCCCAGGTGTCTCAGGTGGTTTGCGTCTTCAGCTGACACGGTCTAGTTCCAAATGTTCATCCGCCGTTGGTTGGGCCGAGGGCGATGTTCCTTCTGAACCCACTTGATGACCCGAACGCTGAAAATAGGGCCCCATTCTTTTTTGGGCTGACCATGTTGGGTGGCAGGCGATGATGAACTTTTGGCAATCAAATGGGCACAATGTGTTTTACAACGTAAGTTGCCCAAGCGCTGCGTTTGTACGTTATTCGTAAGACTGCTATGGCAATGTGCCGGGCCAACGGTTGCTCCTCAAAATAGAGGTGCCCCAAACTCCTTTGTTCTCCGTTCGCTTCATCCTGTGGCGTGAGTCGCAGAACCTTATGCTCACCGACGGTGGCCTAACTGTTGCCGATAGCCGCATTGACTACAAGGCGCCTACGCGCTTCAACCAGACCGTAGCAGCTTTGTAGAGAGTCATCAGGATCCTTGTAAGGAGCTTTATAAGGAGCATTATAAAGGAGCTTCGCAAGTACGGAGCCTTATAAGGAGCCTTATAAGAAGCTTTAGAAAAAGCTTTGTAAGAAGCTTATAAGGAGCCTTGTGCAGAGCTTTAGAGCGAGCTTTACGAGGAGCTTTGCCTTATAAAGGAGGCTTCACAGGCTTCTCAGCCTGTTGCGTTCCCTATGAAGCAAGGTGCGCGTTGGGGCGGACCCCGATCTGTGTCATCCTCATGCAGCGCATAATCAATCAGGGGTCGCTCCATGCGCCTTTTGATCTGTAGGAATGCACAGGCAAAAGGCTGGTTCACAGACACAGGATCAAAGGCTTCATTCTCCGGAAGGAACCATTGCGGAGAGCATGCCAACGAAGACCGCGGCAAAAGTTTCACACATCGGCAAAATCCATCCACTACCGCCAGCATACCAACCTACCTACGCGTCCATTGCGCTGGTCCGTCATCTTGATGGTCACACTGCAGACTAGCGCACCTACAAGATCACCTACCTGGCCCACTCCGGCTGGTCAACTTCCACGCGCACCCTGCCATGACCGACCGCTTTGAGCAACTCTGCGCTAGCCATCGGCCATGCCGACACCGCCCGCCCCAGCCACCGCATGGAAGGGGGTTGGCCACGTGGCCGCACCCCCCAAAGGTTTAACGGAGAATGGCTGGTTGTGTACTCCACCAAACGCCAAGCTCTGACGTCTTTCGAGCTTGAAGCTGTTGAATCTGCCGAGAAGCTCCACTGGCAGAGCTTGGAGTTGCAGTAGCTTCATCAAAGGAAGCGACTTCGGCAATGTGTGGCAGCACAAAGGCCAACAAGGCAAACATTCAAAATGCGCTCGATAGCAGGACACAAAAAACAAACAAAAACAGCAAGACAACACACAAAAAGCGAACAAACAAACAAACAAACAAACAAACAAACAAACAAACAAACAAGCGATCAATAATACACAAAACAAGCAAGCACGCAAGCAAGCACGCAAGCACCGCAAGCAAGCTGGCAAGTAGACGGAAGAAAGAAAGACAGAAAGAAAGAAATCAACAAAGGGAAGGAACAAAAAGAATCAAAGACACAGATACATACAACAAATAAATACACAACACAATTAAGACAAATAAACAAAATAAAGAAAGCAACAAATGCAGAACGAAATAAACAAAGAACGCGAGAACAAAAGAAAAGGAAGAGAAAGAAGAAACACAAAGACAGAAATAAAGGAAAGAACAACACCCGCACACAAATAACACAAGCATACACAGACGCAAACACGCAAACACACAGAATCACAACAAACAAGAGAACAGCCAGACAGAAAGACAGCCAAACCCACAGGCAGACAGCATGGCAGGCAGACAAGAAGGCAGGCAGACACGGAAGGATGGACGGACGGACGGACGGACAGACAGACAGACAGACACAGACAGAAAGACACAGACACATAACAAAAAAAACAACAACCAATCAATCACCAATCAAACAAACAAACAAACAAACAGACAGACAGACAGACAGACAGACAACCAGACAGACAGACAGACAGACAACCAAACAGACAGACAACCACACACAAAAACAAAAATCAACACACACGACAAGCAATAAGCAGACAACTAAACAACCCAATCAATCAATCAACCAACCAATCAAGCAATCAATCAATCAATCCATCAATCAATCAATCAATCAATCAATCAATCAATCAATCAACCAATCAACCAATCAACCAATCAACCAATCAATCAATCAATCAGTCAAGCAACCAATCAATCAAATTGAACCAAATCAAATCAAAATCTAATCAAAAACAAGTCTATCAATCAACCAATCAATCAATCAATCAATCAATCAATCAATCAAACCTGTATAATCAAATAAAATCAAGCAAACCAAGCGACCAAGCAATCAAGCAATAAATCAGTCAATCAAATCAAATCAAATCAAATCAAATCAAATCAAATCAACCAATCAGTCAATCAAATCAAATCAAATCAAATCAAATCAACCAATCAGTCAATCAAATCAAATCAAATCAAATCAAATCAAATCAATCAGTCAATCAATCAATCAAGCAATCAACCAACCAATCAAATCGAAACGAATCAATCAAAATCAAATGACAATCAAATCAATCAACCAACCAACCAGTCCATCAACCACTCAAGCAACCATCCAATCCAATCAAATCAAATCAACACAACACAAATCAAATCAACCAAACCATTCAAACACACGCAAACAAACCGACCAAGCGACCGACTGACCAACCGAGCGACCGACAAACAAACAAGCAAACAAAACACGCACACACACACACACACACACACACACACACACACACACACACACACACACACGCGCGCGCAGACAACCAACCAACCAACCAACCGGCCAGCCAGCCAACCAGCCAACCAACCAACCAAGCAACCAAATCCAACCAACCCAACCAACCCAACCAACCCAACCAACCCAACCAACCCAACCAACCCAACCAACCCAACCAACCCAACCAACCCAACCAACCCAACCAACCCAACCAACCCAGCCAACTCAAACAATAACAAACAAACAAACAAACAAGCAAGCAAGCAAACAAACAAACAAACAAAACAAACAAAACAAACAAACAAACAAACAAGCAATATCTGCCCGCACACAAACAAACAAAACAATCAATCAACCCACCAACAAACCAACCAACCGACAAACACGCCAACAAACATTCATACAATCAACATTAAACAAGGCACCGGCGTTGTTGGTGAACCCTGCCGTTTCTTGACCCTCTTCAAGGCCGCGGTGCGTGCCCATGAATTATAAGCAACGGAGTTCCAATTCGCGTTTCGCTGTGGTGAAACGCTCATTTTACAGGGTGTTCTCCCCCAACATAGTTTTCGAGGCCTCGATTGAATTAAAATGGCGCCTGTTATTGCGACAAATGGCAAAGGTTGTCGGCGAGCAGCCGCCCTTTTTTCCCGTACCATGTGGCAGGCATGGATACAGAGCTGAGCGGGTGCACTTGAGTGCGCTTTGATTTGGCCGGCATGGGTTCAGAGTTGAGCGGGCACACTTGAGCGGGTGTGCTTAGCATTGGATGGCATGATCCAGGGTTGAGCAGGCGCACGTAACCGGGTGTGTGATTGGGAGGCATGGATACAGACTTGAGCGGGTGCGCTGGAGCGGGTGCGCTGGCAGTGTTGAGCGGGTTCGCTTGAGCGGGTGTGCATGTTTTTGGCAAGTGGAAGCAGAGTCGCCTACCATGGGCGCACTTGAGCGAGAGCGCTTACTACACGGATACGGGGCTGAGCGGGTGTGCTGGCATGGAAGCAGAGTTGAGCAGGTGCGCTTGAGTGGGTGTGCTTACCATTGGCAGGCATGGATACAGAGTTGAGAGGGTGCACTTGAGCGGGTGCGCCTACCCTTGGCAGGCGCGAAGCAGAGTTGAGCGGATGCACTTCAGCGCGTGGGCTTAGCAAGTGCCAGGCATGGATGCAGGGTTGAGCAGGCGCGCTTACCATTGACAGGTATGAATACACATTTGAGCGAGCACTTGGGCGGATGTGCTTGGTATTGGCAGGCATGGATACAGAGCTGAGCAGGTGCACTTGAGGGCCTGCCTACCATTGACAGGCGCCGGCGTGGATGCAGAGTTGAGCGGGTGGACTGGCTGACCGAGTTGATCGGGCTCACTTGAGCAGACTTGCATGTGTTTGCAGGCGTGGAATGGGCAGGCATGGATGCATTGTTGGCAGGCGCAGCGCTTTCGCAAGGTCAGGTACAGGTTTATGGCAGGCGCAGCCCGTTCACGAGGTCAGGTATACAGATGTCGCGGCAGGCGCGGCACTTTCGCAAGGTACGGCAGGCGCAGCAGTTTTGCAAGTCAGGATGGCAGGCGCAGCACTTTCGCAAGGTATGGTGCAGACTTCGCGGCAGGCGCAGCACTTTCGAAAGGTACGGTGTACAGAGTTTGCGGCAGGCGCAGCACTGTCCCAAGGCGCAGTATACAGAGTTTGTAGCAGGCGCGGCACTTTCGCAAGCTACAAAGAGAAAGATAAATAGAAAGAGAGAGAGAGAGAGATGAAAAAAAAGAGAAAGAGAGAAAGGGAGAAATAAAGAGAGAAAGACAGACAGACAGAAGAAAAAGAGAAAGAGGGAAAGAAAGAGAGAGAGAAAGAAAGAAAGAAAGAAAGAAAGAAAGAAAGAAAGAAAGAAAGAAAGAAAGAAAGAAAGAAAGACAGAACGAAAAAAATGAAAAGAAAGAAACAGAACAAAAAGGAAGAAAGAAAGAAAGAAAGAAAGAAAGGAAGAAGGGAAGAAATAAATAAATAAATAAATAAATAAATAAATATCGAAGATGTGATGATTCAACAGGGCGCTTTAATCTCTGTAAACATTCTTAAAAACCAGCGGGGGGGGGGGGTAGGGAGGGCGGCAGGCCCCCCCATGATGATCGAAGAAGTGACGATTCAGCCAAGGGTGCAATAAATAATATCTGTAAACATTCTAAAAAACAGCGGGGGGTTGGGGGGGGCGGCAGCCCGAAGAAGTGACTTTTAACAAAGGGTGCGTAATCTCTACAAGCTTTCTAAAAATCAGCGAGCGGGGTAAGAGAGGGCGGCAGCCCCTTCCATGATGATCGAAGAAGTGTTGATTCAACAAGGGTGCATCCGCCGATTCCCGAATCAGATTTCCTTTATTTTCCTCCTTTCTTCTTTCCTTACTGCCTTCCTTCCTTTCTTCCTCCCTTCCCTTCCCTCCCTCCCTCCCTTCCTTCATTCCTTCCTGCCTTCCTTCCTTCCTTCCTTCCTTCCTTCCTTCCTTCACCCCATAGGAATGAGAAGAAGTTGTTTGTTGGTTGCACTTTCCATTGGCAGGCATGGAGAAAGAGTTGAGCGGGTGCACTTGAGCGGGTGTGCCTACCATTAACAGGCACTTGGGCGGGTGTCCTGATTTGTTGGCAGGCGCGGAATCAGAGTTGAGCGGGTGCACTTGAGGGCGTTGGCTTACCATCGCCAGGTATGGATGCAGGGTTGAGCGTGTGCACTTGAGCGGGTCTGCTTTCCATTGGCAGGCATGGATACAGAGTTGAGCGGGTTGAGCGGCTGTGCTTACCATTGGCAGGCACGGAGCTTACAAGTAGCAGGCATGGATACAGAGTTGAGGGGATACAAGTGCTGTGTAAAAAGTAGCAAAACGTGAGGGGTCGTTAACAGCGCCAGTAGCTTAAACAAGGTAGAGTCAAACTTAGTGCAGGCTGGCAGCAAAGGCCATTGCAGAATAGGGATGGGAAGCTAGGCGTCTAGATTCTATGGCGGGGGAGTAGTCTCCCCAGCCGTTTGCTTGATGTTCCTACAGATGTTTGTTTGTCAGCAAAGAACTGTAACAAGTTGGGCAGTCCTGTCGTGTGGCACATACATGTTTAGGGTAGGTGCACTAGGTGCACCATGGAGATGTTGGCATTTCTGCCTGAGAACAGTCCACTTTGCTTCCTCGCGGCCCGATTTTCTGCCATTTGTCTTGAGGCCATGCTTTTCCGTAGGCTCTATTCTGATAAGTCCTCTTGTCCTTGGCTGCCCTTACACCTTGATCAAACATCTTGAAGGCTTCTGATCTTGACTGTGTAATTTTGCTCTCCGCAGCTCGTCTGCGTGCTCGCTGTTGGCTAATGGAGCGTGTTGTCAGGTGAGGCAATGCAGTATGGTCGTTGAGAGAAACATCTTGCAGTTAAACGTAGCTGACCCGTTTTAAAACAAGGCCTGTCACAGGATAGGCAGCCTAGTAGTTCCAATTTGATGTGAGATCCTCAAATTACCCGACCAGTCACACAACAGCCGCGAAAGCGAAAGCTTTCGGAATTCTGGCCTTCAGCATGCAAGTATCCCCCGCGAGCACGGCGCAATGGACCGCAGTAAAACCTCTTTGTTGCACCGCCGCTTGAAAAGAGTCGAACATGAAATGCTCGAGAAAATCCTGGCGAGCAGTGCAGATTTCGCAACTTGTGCAATGATCGATGTGTGTGTGTGTGTGTGCGTGTATGTGTTATTTCTGAGGTGTTTTTTTTATCAGGGAGTCCAAATCCCTACGTTGAAAGGCCTCCGGAGTTTCACAATCGATGAGGTGGTCGGCTTCATGAGTGCAACTCGTGGAAAGATAGTGCACAGTTGCCAAAACACGGGGGCCAGCGCTTTGACTTCCAAAAAACAACGATGCAACTAAATCTCCGACCGCCGGACAAGTCTTGTTGGATTTGTACTTGATGCAAAAGACCCCCTTGCACTTGTTTCAGCTTGGTATGGCAACAAACTTTAGCTTACATCGAGGTGGATTTCAGCTTCTAGGCGCTCTGCCCATGTGCTTGTGAACAATCACCATGCATGTCTAGAGGCTCCAAAGCTGCTCCTGTAGTTTCACCTTACATCGTTCTTCAGAGCACATTGCTTGATTTAACAATGGCAAACATTCACACGGCATCTGCAAATATTCAAAGATTCAATGAGCCAAGATCAAAATATACTGCTCCAGCGTCCTCCAAATTGACAGTAGACTGGATATGTTGACCAAGCCTGTCAAGGATTCTTGCGATCTGTGCTTTGAGGTCCAACCTGGCCTTTTTGAATCCGCCATGTAAAGAGTCGGTTGGGGCAATCTAGATGGGAAGCCCTGAAAGGGGACCCACCGTGTTAAACATCAAAGGCCCGGATATCCGCACCTCGTTGGGACTATCCCCTGCTTATCTTCACTTACAGTATCGATTTTAAACAAGTGGCGAAACGGCGCCCTTTGGTAGTGCCCCCCCCCCCTTTGATTAAAAGAGTCCCAACTCCTCCGCTTCGGGACTTGGCTATCTTGGCTTGCTGAAATGGAAAAAGCAACTTCAAGCACAAAGCTGCTGGTTTCCCCAAAACAGCTGGGTCCCCGCAGCCTTCAATAGTTTATTGCCCGGAAAGCTCTTGGTGCCCAGCGGACCAAGCCCTTGTTTAAGCGTGGCTTAAACCACTGTTTAAACACTTGCGGTTTCCTGGACTGAGATATGGTTCAACAAAACATAAGCACAACTCAAGGTTTCAACTTCACCCGACCCCGCCTTTTGTGAACGGCAGCTGGTGGGATCTCCAAGAAAAAAAGCTGCTTTCGCAGCGAAAAAGCGGAAGCGCTTCAGATCCTGGCGAGACCCGCGAAAACCAAGCAAAAACCAGAGATTGTCCAATCTCTTCCTTTTCCCAGTGGATCCATTGAAAACCAAAGGGAGCACTGCGGGAGCCTTCAAAACCCAAAAGGACCATTACTGGTTAACATGAGGGCAACTGGGATTTACTGGGCTTGGCTTCCCTCCACGCTTCAATTCAAAAAAACTCAGATACCCAATCATTTTTGGGGCCCAAAACTCTCCGAAGAAAGATCCCCATGCAGCCCAAAACACCCGGCAAAGGGCCTTTCCCTTTTGTTTCGTATTTGCTTGCGCTTAAACCCACCAATCCTCAGCCTGAAGGCCAGCCCGACTAATCAGGGCCCCTCTAATGGCTCAAAACGCACAACACAAAGATGCCTGGGAAGGGTCAGGGGTTCATCCAAAAATCAGTTGTCGGGGTTTGTTCAACCTTGTCGACCCTGAAGGGGAGGGGCCTTTTACTACACGCAAGCACATTTGGCAAGAAACTCGGTTGGCAATCGTTCTCAGAAAGGAAAGGGGGGCCTCGGGAAAAGTCTCTAGTGGGCTTGTCAGTATATTCAATCTTCGCCGAACTGGTCAAGTAAACCACCATAGACTTATTTTGTTCCCCCGGCCACCGGCCACCGGAACGTCTGGATTCCAGCATGGTGCCAACATGTGCAAACTGAAACCTATTTATTCACGTTGGTTCAGTAGGCAGTGGGCTTGTCTAGAAATCAGTGAATCCCCCTAAATCTGGTTTACTTGGTTTCCCTTCACAGAACAAACGCCGACCACACACACGCACGCACAAGACTCAGCACAACCACGCCTGCCCAGGACCCTAGCCAAAGGCTGTCCTCTCCCCCACCCGACTGCCAGATACTACTTTAAGGGGCCAAGGTTTGGCCAACCCCCAAGCCTATTGCCAAGACGAATTCCATCCATAGTCGTTTCCCAAAGAACAAACAATTGGCTAGCCTCAAAGAGCAAAATGCGTCTTACATTTCAAGGCTTTACAAGCTCATAAAAGGGCCAGCCCGTCCCAATAATACCCTCCCTTAAAAATCCTTGCACCCTCCATGGGATTACGAAACAGTTTCATTTCAGACTTTCCTATTGCTGTCCCATGGGCTAATCAGGGAGTAGTAGCAGCAGCAGTAGCAGCAGTAGCAGCAGTAGCAGCAGTAGCAGCAGCAGTAGCAGCAGCAGCGGTGGCAGTAGCAGTAGTAGTAGCAGCAGCAGTAGTAGTAGTAGTAGTGTTAGTATAGCAGTAGTACTACTAGTGACAGTAGTAGTAGTAGTAGTAGTAGTAGTAAGAGTGGTAGTAGTGGCTGTGGTAGTGGTAGTAGTAGTAGTAATAATAGCAGGAGCAGGAGCAGGAGCAGCAGCAGTAGTAGTAGTAGCAGCAGCAGTAGTAGAAGTAGTAGTAGTAGTAGTAGTAGTAGTAGTAGTACTAGTAGTAGTAGTTGTAGTAGTAGTTGTAGTAGTAGTAGTAGTAGTAGTAGTTGCAGTAGCAGGAGCAGGAGCAGCAGCAGTAAGAGTGGTAGTAGTAGTAGTAGTAGTAGTAGCAGCAGCAGGAGTAGTAGTAGTAGTAGTAGTAGTAGTAGTAGTAGTAGTAGTAGTTGTAGTGGTGGTGGCACTAGCTTTCGCCACGCATTACGAAGGCTGCATGCTTCAGCGGTGTGCTGCGGTGGGGCTTGCTTCGGTGTATTCTTCGCTGGGGTTGAACTTCCAGCCTTTTCAAGTCACACACACACAAGTAAAAAACGAAGCCGTATGGCTACTTAGAATATGTAATGGGAACGTTGTGGACGGAAATCCTCATGTAAGTGATGTCCGCCAAGGGGTTCAGCCCAGAAATAATATGCGGTCGTCGTCGGGGGCCCTTGGAATGTGTGGATTTCCTTGGGGTGTCCCTATGAACAAAAAACGGGATCCAAGCAATTCAAGTTTCATATGTTTGTAGCTAAATAGCCAAACCCCAAGTGTGTGGTGTCCTTTGGGTGTCCCTTTACAACTACAAGGGTATCCTGCAAAAGGACAACCCAAAGAAGAAGAACACACCAAAAGCCCAAAAAGACACACCCGAAAAGAAGGGACACCCCCGCAGCCCCAGTCGGGCACCAACCCTGCACCAACCTGTAAAAGGAAACGTTCCCGTTTGGACCCTTCTTTTGTTGGGACCGTTTCAGGAAAACGGGCCCGTTCCCTCTGGTTTCCCTTTCAAACCCAAAACCCAAAGAGGATCCAATTGAAGCGCATACCCTTGCCTTCAAAAAAGGCAGCTCATCTTCCTCAGGCCCCCCTTTTCAACCAAAAAGGAGTTTCCCTCCAAACGAAAAATGAAACAACACCCGCCCGTGGAAGCATGGACTAAAACCCCAGATGGCTGAAGTGAGGAATGGGGTTTGAAAGAGACCATTCTGTTCCAACAAGTGTTTAGGGTTGTTGGATTGGCTACAAGAGTCATTTGTTTCTTGTTTACCACCACAATGGTCCAAACCCCAAGAGCAAAAATGAAAAACAAAACAAAAAACACGATCCTCCAACTTCAAACCCCAAAAGTATTTTGAACAAACCCCACGAACTCAGGCAGCCGAGCTTTTCACCACCCGCCATCCTTTGCTTCTCACGCGAATCCGCGCCTTGCGCTTGGCAAGCCTGGCCAGCTTCAGGTCGAGCGCCTTCCAGATGAAGCGGTTCACCTTCTCCCGGTCCTGGCCGGGCGGCGGGTTGCGGCCGGCGGGCGGCCGGCGGGTTGCGGGGGGCGGAAAAAAAAAGCGCCCCCTGGGTTGGGTGGGATTGTTTTTTGGAGGAAACGACCACTTGAGACCACTTGTTTTTGTTCAAAACTCCCATTCGGACGAAAACACCCATGTATCATGTCTTTTGTGTGTGTCTCCAGCCACTTGAGAGTGTTCCAACCATGGAAGTGTTTTCTGTGAGGGGCACACTGCCGAAATCCCAAGTCAAGCAATGGGACATACACAGGCCCCTAAACGGAAGTGGATCCAAACAGCGACACAGGATATGTTGAGAACTCTGTATTAGATGCCACAGAGGCCCCACCGCCTCGAATATATTCAAATATGTGGTGTTTCCTGTTCATGTCCCGTTAAGCCAGCCTGAAAAGGGCGCCAAATCTCGCAAATTCCAAGGTGATAAGGGGATGGGGACATGAATCAAATGTCAGTTGAACGTTCAACTCTCGGGAATAGAGACGGCTCCCCGACGGCTCGTCACATAACAAAGTTATACCTGGACCTTCCAAGGTGTTCCAATTTGTTCCGCCTTTTCACCGAAAACTGACTTTTCGGCACATTTTTGTGCCTCAGCACTTTTTGCATCTTACTGATATTTGAGCCAAACCTGGGTGTGAAAGGGCGATTTTGTCCGACCAAAAGGCGACGGCACCCGACCAAAAGGCGACTTTCCCCGACCAGGCTTGCCGCAGCACAATGAGAGGGCACTTCTGGCACAGAACATTTCTGCCTTTTTGCGAAAGAGCAGAACAAAGGTGCAGCTGGAGGGTCCAGGTATGTTCTGATTCTGTGTCATATTCTACCCGCTTTTAAGAAACCTGGAGACCAGCTAGCCATGGGAACTTCCCGTTTACTCCTCTCGTTGTTCTGTGATAAAATCCGATGAATTCGACCCAAAACCCCAGGCCACAGCCGAGGTGCGCTATCGATGCCGAAGTCTCCCGAATGCACCGGAGACCTTAACCAAAGCATCGGCTGCTCGAAGTGGGCCCTCTCAGTGTCCGTGACAACCTGGCGACATGGGAAGAGTGAAGAGAAAGAGGGCAACGCTTTTTGGTGGATCTTTGAAGGGCGTTCCCTTCCACGTGCCGGGACCTGGGACCTTTCTTTGGGCGGCCCTGTTTGTTTGGAGTTGATGCCTCTTTCTTCCGTGTGGTGGGCGGGTTGAAAGGGAAGCCTAATGTCAGTGCAAGACGGTAGACCCCCGATAAAAGGTGTCCCGTTTTGCCTCCCGGATTCCCACCAATACTAAAGTGCAGGGACAACACAGTTTGCCGCCCAACAAGTTAATCATTTTTGTTGGCCCCTGCAGCCCCAAAGCAAAAGCAACTGCCAGAAGAAGGGCTTGCCTTTCTGCTTCATATTTGCTCAGTCTTACCACAGTTTGTTCATTGTTTGATATCACAAGGTTTTCAAGCTTGCAAAAGGGACTATTACTTGGAGGCCAGCCCTCCTGATTAACAGAACACCCACCACAATGCATCAGGGCCCTTTTGGGGTCAAAACAAAGATGGCTGTTCCGTTGCCATTCAAAGTCCTGCCAAGAAGGTCCCAACTTCCTGCGGTTGAAATTCTTGGGGTTCAAAAAATCCAAAGGACCAGAACATCCCCTGGTTCCCCAAAAATCCAAAAAATCCTCTTTTGCTGGTTGAAGTTCTGGGGTACTTCCTACGAAGCGTTCTGCTGCCATCTGCTGAACTTTGGAGTTGGTACCCCCGGCCAGTGAATCGAAACAAATCCGCCCAAAGAAAGCTCGATCCGGGCGAGGTGAACGGGTTTTTTTGGGCTCGAGATGGAAAATTCCTGGGAATGAAAAACCATAGCTACGCTCCAGCCCAATCGTAACCTAGCCAGGTTCGGCCTCCAAGAAATTTGGATGAAAAACGACGCTTACCTCAACGAATCACAAGCCGGATTGCTAGCGAGTACTGTAGCCCATGTTGTAAGCAATGCTTCTTGGCCTGTGGCAACGCACTCTCCCTCATGTTCCCTCACAGCAAACAAATGCAGTCCAAATACTCTAGTTCAAATGCCCGAAAGCACGCAAACTTGAAGCTGCCGCATCGGGTAAAGATGTTGCGAACACAACAAGCATTTGACTTTTCGTGTATGTTCTGCCATTGCAATCCTGGCTAACAGGGTTCGTCAAATAATTTGTCCGAAACCTCGTCAACCTTGGGAAGTTTGCCAATCAGCTTCTCAAAGTTGATCACCCCCTGTTCGATTCATAGGGATCATGTAATCTTGGGATCTGCTTTGGACCGTTGGAGGAGTTGCGCCTCTGAATTCGAGCTTGATGTTCCCGGCAACTACCATGGCAAGTATGAACCCCCTGTATGGATTTCCTACGGCCAACTGAAATAGGTTGGCTGGGGCAGCCCTAAGCAGCGCCAGCTCGGCTACGATAGGAACGGCGCTGCGGTCCGAAAGAAGTTTGCACCACATCTCTGCGCGACACCATCCACGCTGAAGCCACGTGCTGTAATTCACTGGTGAGCCGCCTCAGTGCTGCAAGACAACACCTAAAAAAAATAGAACCCGTATCTCCTGACAGCATTTCCCCAAAAAACACCCTCATGCCTCGTTGTCTCTGAAGGCGCTTTCGTAATGAAGCGACAGGGATGAGTGAAAGCCACCCACGCTCCTTCGCACTTTAAAAAGCGACGAGAACTGCAACCTACTTTACTACTTTCATATATTAGCTTTAGTTCGCACAAAGCCACAACCCGAGTCTTAAGCACACACGAATTGGGCAGCTGGTTCGTCACGCGCGGCGCACCAGCAAGAGCACGTTGACACGCAGGGTTCATCGGCAACATAGAAGAATCGCACGGCGCCACAGCCAGAGCGCTCCGACGCGCGCGCTACCCCCAAAAGGATTTTGCCCGCCAGCGCCCGACGATCCCACCCCCCGCCAACAAAATACGCAAAAATACACAAAATTAAAAAGAAGTGCTTTTCGCTACAAGGGCTGCGAGAGGCAGGGTGCGCTAAGGGCTGTGTGTAGAGCTGCACAAACAAGAGCTGCGCAGAGAGCTGCGCAAAGCAGCGCCGTGCAAGAGCAGAGCTGCGCAAGGGCTATGTTTCAGCGAGGCTATGTTGAGACGCAATGTGAAGCGATGTTGAAGTCTGCAGTGCAGCAAAGTGCTGTGCAGCAAGGCTATGTTAACACGTGCTGGGCAGCAGAGCTAGCCATTTTGAGCTAGAACCCTTTGCTACGCTTTCTGGAACAAGCATAATTACGAATGCTTCCCCAAAAGGACATGGACAAATTGAGTGGGCCCCGTGGGTTCTTGTGTGAAACTTGAATGGCCCCCCCATTCCTCTCCAAACTGCAAATAGACTTCTAGTGATCTTGACAGTTGCTCACATCACGTGCTAGGGCAATGCTGTAGGCGCTTGTTCTCCTTATCCCGACAGGTTCCCAAAACCGTCTCAATTCCTGGACTCAAACTTGATCTTAACTTAACAAGTATTACAATGTCCCAAGGCATGGCTGGTTGGCTGCCGTGTGCGATGAGCGTTTTCACAGAAGTCACCACCGCGTGTGCAAACCTGGCAGAGGAAGTCTTCCGTGTGTTAAGATTCAACGCTACAAGCATACATAATGCATACTCTCCATGTTGAGAGTAAATGGAGCCATGTGCCATCTACTTTTGATGCAACATACCGATACAAGTGCCACAAGCGGATAGTCCCCCAATGCGTAAATCATGGATGACCATGTTGCACCCTCAATCTGGGAATTGTGCCTTGCCTGTGCCTTGCGGTCTGACATCTGCGGGGTTTTGCGCCGCGAGATCAAAATCACCTTCAGCCAGAATCTGAGTTGCCCCCAAAAGTGGCCACCGGGGCCATTCTCGTCTTCCGCTTGGCTCGTGGCTCATCCGGGATCCGCCTCCCGAGCCCCGGAACCCGAGTCACCGAACTGGGCTCGGTCCGAGCTGCCCTCGTGCTCGAGGCTAGGAACAAGGGCCAGAAAGATCTGACACGCCTGCGAGCGCAGGCTGGGCTTGAGAGAAAGAAAGAAAACGGTATGACAAAACCCACGATACGGAGATGAACCATTCCTGCAAGTAAACCATGGTCATTTCAAGTGCATCCCTAAATCTCGCAACTCTCCTGAAATCGGGCAGCGCGACGGACAACTCCTAATGTCTAATTCCCCGAAAACTATTCGAAGCTACAATCTCTTGACTTGAATGCTCGCACAGAGCGTTTTCGGGTGCTTCTCAAAATACGGAACCCTCCAGGCGGTTGGCTTCCTTTTGGTTTCCCTTTGCACAAACCCAAAGGGGTCCTCTTTGAACCACTCCCGTACACAAATACAAGCAATAGCTTTTGACTCGTCATGCATTCTAATCGACCATGATGTGACGCTGTCAATACACGCCATGCTCGCACACAATGAACTCGCGCGAAGGCAACTGCACTTACTTCAAGTCATTTTGTACTTTGACTCAGTCCAAAACAGGCATTGCTTTTGATGTCGCCTTCAAAAGGCGGCCTTCAGGGCGGCACTGAAACGGGTCCAAGTTGAGGCCATCTGTTTGATCCCAGCCCCACAAGATCAGTAGGCCATGCCAAAGTAGCCAAGTCCAGCCACTCATCACTAATCTCTCAGCCACCCGCCTCAACATATGCTGGAATCGATGCGATGCCTGCGGCCAAAAGTGGTACCTCGCCCCTTACAAAACATGGCTTGGTCTCAATAATGAGGAACCCTCATGGCGGTTGGTTTCCTTTTGGCTTCCCTTTAAAACCCACCAAACGGTTGGGTTCCCAAAAAAAATGATTGACGCACACACACACACATTGCATGAAACGGCGCAAGTCTGCTGATTTGTCAGCTGCCCTCAAACTTTGCCTCCAGGCTCCAGGCTCGCCCCTCTCGACTTCTGACCAATATGGTTTTGAAAGTGGTGCTTTCTTTAAATCAAAAAAAAATGCAAACGGCAACCCTTGAACATCCGGGAAGGGTATGCCTCGCAACGGCTCGAATTATTCTGCGAAGGAGCCCGGCGATACCCGATCCAACCTGAATGGGTGATAGCAAAGCCACGCTTAAATCACTGTGGCACACAACGACAAACGAGGTGGAGAAAAGCGGACGCGATGGACCGCAGCAACCACGACCAGCAAGGGGCAACGATACAACCACCACCACCATCGCCGCCGCAGAAACAACCATAAGCAAGCAAGCAAGCAAGCAAGCAAACAAGCAAGCAAGCAAGCAAGCAAGCAAGCAAGCAAGCAAGCAAGCAAGCAAGCAAGCAAGCAAGCAAGCAAGCAA